TTATGGGAAGGGATGAGATGTAGGGGACAAAATTCAGAGGCAGGGCTGGGAGTCCTGGGCCCTGCTTGAGCAGAGCAATGGTGGGACAGGAGTCTTGTGGTGCACAGTGGGGGGAGGCTGTGGGAAGCAAGGCTAATGGGTGGGGTGGGAATGGGGTACAGGGCTTCAGAGGGTGGCAGAGGATGAGGGGGCCTAAGCTGGAGGCAATGACAGAACTAGGTCAGCCTGACAGCAACTCCACAACACAGGTGGTAAGAACGATTCCCTGGAACTGTCTTTGAAACCCCAGTGAGATTTGAGATTCCGGCGTCCAGAGAAATGTGATAGGCAAAGAGAAAACAAGCTCCCCCTCATGTCCTAAGCTGGGGTATTTTGGTAAGTGAGTCTGCAGTCCTGAATAGGGGTGTAATGGGTCTGTTAGGGACCTGCCTTTCATTCAAAGCCAGCGTTTTTAGGCAGCACAGAGCACCCTGCCTGACAGGCTCCCTCCTCAGCCTCCCCATTCCAGTTGCTGGCATGGAAGGAAAGGTATCCTTAGATAGGAACAGGTGTCCTGAAATCCTGGAGCCCTTGCCCTGCCAACTCTGTCTCCATACAAGGTGAGTGGGCACATGTGGCTTGTGAACGATTTTATTTTATCGTTTAGAGAGAGAGAGAGAAAGAGAGAGAGAGAGAGCACAAGCAGGGGAAGGGCAGAGAGAGAAAGAGACACAGAATCTGAAACAGGCCCCAGGCTCTGAACTGTCAGAACAGAGCTTGATGCAGGGCTGGTTCTCTCTCATGAACCGTGAGATCATGTCCTGAGCCGAAGTTGGACGCTCAAACAACTGAGCCACACAGGCACCCCTGGTCAACCATTTTAAAGGGGATGTCTGCCCAACTGGCTTCCTGTCTGCATGGAGCAAAAGTTTTTGGGATTTTTCTCCATCAGCCATCTCTCAGTAGACTTTTCCATTGAAAAGCTGCCTGAAGTCAGATGCAAACTCCCCTCTTCTGAAATCTTTTCCAGTGGTATTTTCAGTGTGATTGAATCCAGGCATGCACACCTGAAACAGAGTCATGTGCATGAAAATAGTATTGCTTGACAGCAATAAGGAAGATAATAGCAGCTGATGTTTTTTGACTGCCTACCATGTGCCTAAATTCTAGTTTAATCCTTATAATGCCTTTATGAGGTGGATGCTATTATATCCCATTTTATAGATAAGAACACTGAGGCACAGAGAGGTTAAGTGCTTTTCCCAAAGTCACATAGTAAGTGGCAGAGCAAGATTTGAGTTCAGATAAACTCATCAAATTGTACACATTAAACATGTGCAGGTTTTGGGGGCACCTGGGTGGCTCAGTTGGTTAAGCATCCAACTTTGGCTCAGGTCATGATCTCGCCATTCAGAGTTTGAGCCCCACATTGGGCTCTGTGCTGACAGCTCAGAGCCTGGAGCCTGTTTCAGATTCTGTGTCTCCCTATCTCTCTCTCTCTCTATGCCCCTCCCCTGCCTATGCTGTCTCTCTCTCTCTCTCTCAAAAATAAATAAACATTTAAAAAATTAAAAAACAAGTGCAGGGATTTTTTTTCTTGGATATTAATTGTGCCTCAATAAAACAGTAGAAAGAAAAAAAAAAGATTGAAGCCCAGGGAGTTTGGCTCCAACAGTCATGCTCTAGTCAAACAACAGCACCATGTGGTTGTGAATGCCCCACAACACCAGCCAGTTGTGCTCACCATTTTGACTTTGAATTCGTTTTCCAAGAAGGTAATATCATTTGCCCACAAAGACTTGACCCCATCTGATAACTTGATTAACTTCTTTTCCTGAAATCTACTTTATTTCAAGAAGATGACAATCTTTCCCAAGACAACACTTCAAATATTTTTCAGCAAAAACATTTCAAGATCATCACTGGCCTCTATTTCTCCAGGTACAAAATGAGCAGAAAGGCAATATTCAACTGCCTTAGCCAGAGACTTCTGAAATTTATGTGTATTTCTTGAAAGAAAAGGTACATCCTGATTAGGGTTGTAGTTATATGACTATGCATTTGTCAAAATTCATATGCGCATTTACCAAGACAATGGAATTTTACCATATTAAGTTAGAAAGTTTTAAAAATTAAAGTGAGAGAGTATAAGTATTTGTACCAGCAATTCAAAAGGAAAAGAGAAATGTCCAGAGTCCTCTTAGAAGTGTAGGCTACAAAGTAATATGAACATCTTCTTCAGTAGTTCATAAAAACTGACAGTGTGTGCTAATCCTTCTTGTACCTAGGAGATCTATGGTGACCTACTCTTCCTCACCTGCTGAAGTTGTGATCCTCACTGAGCACATTCAATCCACTAGCTCTAGATCTGCTCTTCACACTGAACACGGCCATCTGTTCCCCTAGGAAAAGTCAAGAAATAGACCTGGAATCGTATTGGTAACATCATAGAGCTGTTTGGAATTCAAGTGTGAAGAGTATTATCACATCACCTCAGATGATTTTTTTCAAGCCATCTGTAGTTTGGTTTCAAGGAAAATGATATGTACAATTGAGCAACATGCCTGAGGCTTTAGAAACTGTGTGGGGAAAAGATGCATTTATTTATGACTGTGATCACAAAATCCATGGACTTGACCTTTGTCATTGAGGGTCCTGCATGGCCCTCACAGGACACATGGTGAGGAATCTGTCTAAGCACTTGCTGACAACCCTGGCCTCAATGTTCACTTTGAATAGTAGGAGAAATTGAATTATAAGAAGCAATTTCTTTTTTTTAATGTTTATTTTATTTATTTTGAGAGATAGAAGAGGGGGGGAGAGAACACAAGTGACACAAGTGGGGGAGGGGCAGAGAGAGAGAGAGAGAGAGAGAGAGAGAAACCCAAATTGATGCGGGACTTGATTCCATGACTGTGAGATCATGACCTGATCTGATATCAAGAGCTGGGCCTCAACCAACTGAGCCACCCAGGCACCCCACAAATCATTTCTAAAACCAATACTTAGAAATAACTCTTCTAACATTTCAATAGAATGGAGTTAAATTAACCATATTTTAGTAATTTACTATGAATATCATTATCTGCCATCATCCCCCTATTTGTAAATAAAAAAATTGTCAAGTACACAGAAAGGTTGACAGTTTACAGATGGTGAACACCTGTACGTCTATCATCTATATTTTACAATTAACTTTTTCCTGCATTTGTATTATTAAATATTTACCTATCCATCAGCCAATCTTTTCATTTTACAAATTCCAAGCACCAGTAAGCTTCACTCCTAAACACCTCAGTATGTGTGTAATTAACTAGAGCTCAATATTTGTTTATACTTCCTTAAGGAAAATTTATATACAGTGAAATGCACAAATCTTAGGCGAAACATTCACGGACTTTTGACAAACACATATGCTTGTGTAATACAACCCCTGTCAAGGTGTAGGGCATTACTATCAACCAACAAATTTCTCTCATGCCTGGTTAATCTCCTACACCACACCCTCAAACCAGAACTCTTCTTATTTCTTTGCCACATACTAGTTTTCTGATATCACTTTTATTGGTTGCATATTGTTCCACTAAATGGACATACTACAGTTGAATCAATTTCCAGTTGTTGGACACGTGGGTTGGTGCCATTCTTTCCCTGCTGGGGGCTGTGCTACATGGACATCCTTGTAGCTAACCTAGTGGGAACCTCTACTTATTGCAGGGGGTGGGGGATGTAAGGTCACTGTAAGAGTATCTCCCGAGTCAAAGTGGATGCCCATTTTCAAACCTTCTGACATGCTGCCCAGTTCTTCTTCCAAAAGCTGCACCAATCTGCCTTCCTACTGGCAATGTTACACTCCCACCCCCTAGCTCTAATTCATAGTTGGATTTGTGATTTGGTCCCCTTCCCAGCTGCTCAGTAGGCATGTATATTAAGTGATTCACCAAGGCTGAAGATGCCTCAAGAATGGGTGGGTAAGCCATTCCCATGGATTATAAATGTTTGCAAATACACCATTCAACATGTAAGGGAAGTGATATGGTGCCTTCTCAGGACCTGTATAGAATAATGTCCCCTCTGGACCCTCCTATGGCACAATAGAAGAATGGACTGGTTTATGCAGCCTCCTTATAGGGTGGAAAAAGGAATTTGATCAGAATGAAAGAAATCCTGGGGCACCTGGGTGGCTCAGTCGGTTAAGCGTCCGACTTCAGCCTAGGTTATGATCTTGCAATTCGTGAGTTTGAGGCCAGCATCGGGTTCTGTGCTGACAGCTCAGAGCCTGGAGCCTGCCTCAGATTCTGTGTCTCCCTCTCTCTCTGCCCCTCCTCCCCTGCTCATGCTCTGCCTCTCTCTGTCTCTCAAAAATAAATAAATGCTAAAAAAAGATTTCAGAATTAAAGAAATACTAAATTCTCAAAAGTCTTATGCCTCCAAAATGGTATAGAGATATCCATATCACTATCACAAAAAAAAGATGCTCCATTAAAATACATTTCAATGCTTTCAATTTATTTATTTTTCAAGAGTTTGAGCTTTACCCTTTAAAAATTCCCATGTTCTGGGGATGGAGGTGGTAATCATTTTATAATGTAAAAAGTATCAAATCAACATGTTGTACACCTTAACTTACACAATAAGTTAAATATCAAGTATACCTCCATAAAAGTGGGGAAAAACATCCTGTGCTCTGTTGATGGACTAAGTCTATGATGATGATTTTGAAACTCAGTGATCTGTTTGGGGTGCCTTGGTGGCTCAGTCGGTCAAACATCTGACTTTGGTTCAGGTCATGATCTCACAGTTCATGGGTTCGAGCCCCACGTTGGGCTCTGTGCCGACAGGTCAGAGCCTGGAGCCTGCTTCAGATTCTGTGTCTTCCTCTCTCTCTGCCCATGTCCCAGTCATGATCTGTCTCTCAAAAATAAATAAACGTTAAAAAAATGTTTAAAACTCAGTGACATGTAGATTCCTCACATCCATCCTTCTGCATCCATGGTCACTGTGTTGCTCCCATTTTGCAGATGAAGATAGAGGTGCTGGATGTTAATGATGTGCTCAGGGACAGCTTGGGAGTGAGTGACAGAAGGGAATCTGGAACATTATATTTCCTCGCCCAGACGCCTCCTTCCCACAGAAGGTGTAGATTAAAATAAAATGAGCCTGACAGAGGTTTCACCCAGTTCTGGACCATTGCTTCTTCCTGTAGTGCTGGCTTTGATGAGAGCCACCCCCACGGGAAATAAATTGTCAGCGGAGTCAGAAGAATCCACCCCAGCTTCATGAGAAGCCGAGGTGAAGACATTTTTGCATTAGAATAATTTCTGCTTTCAAAACCCTCTGGACATGCTAAGTAGCCCACCCAGCAAACACACAGAAGGATGACCCTCATGTGTCCTGCAGATGAGACTGCTGGGGAGAGGAGAGAGAGGGCTGCAGCCCATGGGCACCATGCCTTTCTCCTTTCCTTGAAAGTTGCAGAGATGTGCAAGCAACCTGTTGAGAAATCCCTTCTTGGGCAACCAGTCTGAACTGCACTCAAGCTCTTCTGAGGCCTGGAGCTGGGAAGGGGCTCCCCAGATGCGAATGTCTAGGAACGTCCCAGGAAGCCTATGAAATGTGCTCTCCAGTTCCTCCTACTGCCATTTCCATCTTCTTTACTCTTGGATCTACCGTCTGGTTCAGACAGTTGGTCTTCTGCAGCTTCTCCCAAGCCAATGCTAGGCAACGCCCATCTGAAGCCTTGCCTGCCAGAGAGGGCTGGCCTGGGCCATGAGGGTGTGAAAACCCAGCCTTGCTGCACAGTGCTCTCACTCCTCCAGGCAGTGACAGCCTCTTGGCCCTCTATGCTGGCCATGGATGCCCTGGGGTCCCAGCAATTCATCACATCTCCAAAGTGTGGTGGCTGCAGGCAGCGGATCTCCTGGCATTCCACCGAGGCTGCCACATTTGGAAGTGATTTGGGGATGAGAAAGGCTGCACAATGAGGAAACTCTGAATGGCTGCTCTCTTCCACTTCTGGCCACCCACTTTCTGAGTCGAGAAAGTGGAATCTGGCCAAGCTGGGGTGAAGTGAAACTGTCTGAAATCAAGCAAGATGGTAGCCAACATGATGGGTGTGGGTGGGTGAGTAACCTTTTCATCCTTCTTGGCTTAGCGGGCTGTCAATTCACACACCTGGGATGGGTCCTTGCCAGCCCCTCCTGCCATTCTGTCTGCCTGGCCTGGCCTCCATCGTCCATCTCAGGTCCGTCCCGAGGCCTGCAAGTGCCTGATACATCTGCTTCCACAGACATCATGATTTCTCAAACTGGACATCTATTTGATTTCCCTGTGCCCTAGACACCCTCTTCTCATGAGCTCACATATCCTTTGCAGAATGTAAAAGCTCTTTACACACTTGAAGTCCATTGTGATCTTCCTCCGTTTAAGCCACTGTCCCCCCTTTCTGTTCCTATTCCTCAAATCCAACCAGATGTTGGACTTTCCCATCACGTACTTCAACTGCACATCACCAACTGCATGTCAAATGGTGATGTTAGAAATGACTTTCCCTAATGATCCAGAAAAAGTCCCATTTTTCATAAAGTTTTTCTCCCCAACTTGGTTTTACATATGATTATTGTTTGCTGTAAAGTCCCAGTTTTTCAATCAATCATGCTTCCTTTCCGACGCCCCTTTCCCTGAGGTACTGTCTCCCCCTCCATGTTCATCTGCCCTCCCCCAGCCCCCACCCTTAGTGGACAGTGCCAACAGTGTAGCAGGAGGAATTTATGGAAGGAGGCCAAATTTGGCTTCAGATCATTTCTCTTCAACACACACTGGCCTCTGAAAACCAGATTCTGTTTGTCATTTGGTTTGCTCCCCCAGCATTGTGTCATTCCAATGGTAATGCTGATGGATTTCAAGCTTGCCTGGTAGAGTAACGCACAAGGTTTTCATAAGCACATTAATCTTAAAAGAAAAACTGTCAGATGCAAACAATACCCATATGACTGATGTTGTAAAGACACAAACTAACTCTTAACATCCATTCCCAAAGAATATTATCTTACAGGGGCCTGTGTTGCCCCCTTATGTTAATTCCCTTCATACATCCGTACCTGTGTTTCAGGGGTTAGTGGCACCCAAAAAGCTTGCTTTCCGCACCAAAAGGCTGGGGATTAATTGCACGTCTGCTCATTTGCCAAGTCCAAATAATAGGCTCAGTCCCATGACCATGTAAAGAAGACCATGATTACAAGAAATATGTAATTTCATTACTTTTCACAAAATGTAATATAAGCAGTCCTTATGAAAACCAAATTGGAAAATCATTATACCACAAGAAAAGGGGCTCTGGTCCCCTTGAAACACTAAAAAGTCATTAAAAGATGAGACGCGCTGCCTCAACCCTCTTCCCAAAGGAAGTGTTCCTAGCTCACCATCGGACTTGTGGAGGGCATTTTCCCATTTTGTTCCGAAGTTAGCAAAATGTGTGGTATGAATTAAATATCTGATATTGCTCTAAACGTCATTTGGAAGTGTGCCAGGCCACAATCAAGTATGAGCTAGTAGCTTGTTTTAATTTAATGGTGTTAAAGTGTTCCACTGTAATTAAGCATCTGAAAATTAAATAGAAACAGTCATTAGGCTCAGCGATACAAAGCCACCAGACCAAAGAATACAAGTTTTTTAAAATAGAGACCCCTGAAGCATTATGGGGCCGAAGGGGGGGTTCTTCAACAGGGGCTTGATTGATCACTGGACTTCTGGGCCATCGAAATGACTGAACACAGGCAGGTCATCTCCGGCTTGCAGCTCTTGCTGGGGAAGCCTGAGTTTGTAAGCAGAGGCCATGTTCGATGAAAAATTTCTGGGTGAGGTTAGGCCCAGCCCAAGTACTGTTGACCCCACCTTACATGGTTGGTGTGAATCATAACAGCTGAGATGGAGCTGTGGCCAAGCCGAACAACTCTGTACGATGAAGGAGACTGAGCATTTCATATTCTGTGTCATGCCCTCAGCATCCAGGGTCTCCTCTCTCTACAGCCCCACAACACAGCTGTCCAGCCACTCTGGAGTCCAGAATCCTTGCAACCTGAGAAAACAGTGTTGCTTCCCAACTTCCAACCTAAGGAAGGACAACTGCATGTCTTTCTGATGCCTGCTTTTCCCAGAAGTGAAGAGCTGTGGGGTATTTGGCCAGGCAGGATGCCTACTTGTCCTTTGTCACTCTCCAAAGCTTATTACGGCAGCACTGTGTATCAACTCTGGGAACACTCTTTGAAGTTAAAGTACTTTCTCAAGGCCACAACAGAACCACCACAGTTAGCAGGCAGGGCAGATCTTGTTCTGCTCCTTCACAGATAAGGTGGCTGAGACTTCGAGCAATACAAAACTATCCTTCTCGATGACTGAGCTGGCACAATAACCAAGATCTTCTGATTCCAAGTTCAGCATGTTTTCAAAAATGCTAGGTTGGGTCCTGGTAGAAAATAGTAAAACTTACTGTGTTACCCCAAATGATTTTTTTACTTGCCACCAAGCCTATTTCACAACAAACTTTCATTTATCCACAAATTTGAATAACAAAGACAATACTGATTTTAGATTTTTAAGTCAAGCTCTTTGACAATATAATGAGAACAAAGGATACTCTCCTGAGAAAATATACAGACACAATTTCAGAGTAAATTTTAGAGATTTGTGGACCTGTTGTCCAGGGGACCCAAGACCTCCAGTTAAAAGGAATGAATGCCTGGGTGGCTCAGTCAGTTGAGCATCTGACTTCGGCTCAGGTCATGATGTCATGGTTTGTGAGTCTGAGCCCTGCATTGGACTTGCTGCTGTCAGCACAGTGCCTGCTTTGGATCACCTGTCCCCTTCTCTCTGCCTCTCCCCAGCTTGTGCTCTCTCCAAAATAAATAAAAACATTAAAAAAGTAATGGATGGATAATTGAAATCTTCAAATTATCCCAGGTCTTCACTTTATAAATCACTTTCAATTATCTCCTCTACCAAATAGTTTTGAAACCAGGCTTAGCCAAATTTCCCAATTGACTACCATCACTTTGCTTCCCACCAGCCACCTCCTGGTGGGGGTGCTGGTGAGCAGTCAACACATCTCCAGTTGGGAAGCTAGAGGGTGTGCAAGGAGACATTCAAGACCTGGATAGACTGCTAGCCAGAAATCAGTCCTGGGAAATTCTGAGTGGACAGTGTAGTGAGAGTTGAAGCTTCCTGGATTGAGAATAGAGTGCCCCTTCCTCAGTGTTTCGATCTGCATAGCAAATAAATGTACACCCTGAAGCAAGATGCCAGGTTCAAATCCTGGCTCAGCCATTTCCTGTTTTTTGTGGCCAGGGGCACATTGCCTTCTGTGCTCCTCAATTTTCTCATCTGCACAATGGGAATAGTTCTAAATTAATTTAGTCTCCAAGGGCTATTGTGAGACTCATCATATAATATGTACAAATGGTTAAAGTAATGTCTGACACGAAGAAGGCACATGGATAAAAGGAATGTTCCCTATAAACAACCTTTTAGCTTAAAAGCATCTCATCTTTATTTTTTAAAATTTCTTATTAGCCTTTTTTACCTTTAGGAAGCTTTTCAACTCTTGTGAAATTCAGAGTTTCAATTCTACTTTCATGATCTGAATTGTCAGTATAATGAAATCCAGGGTATTCCTGACAGGGAATATTAAAGGATGTCTTCACTGCCCCTCCCCACTCCTCCAGTGCTCCTTGGACTGTTGCAAAGCAGGCTTATAGGAGCACACTTCATTCTTTGGGCACAGGTGACACCCAAGACACCCAGCTTGGGCAGCTCTTTCTTAGTGGGTGCTCTTGGCTAGGGCAGATTTGTCATGGGAGTGGAGATGACCCAGGACAATTCATGTGCAGGTGAAGCAAGGCATAAAGAAGGAGTCTGACAGCTGATGACCCTGAAGGTCATGGTGCACAATTGCATTGCTGTGTCTGAGCTTCATACCACATTGTGTTTGCCACCTACATCATGGAGTAGTAGGAAAATCTGCTTGTGGTTATAAGGAATAATTTTGTACTGTCTTGGCTATCTACCATGACCCATAAAATTAAAAAAAATAATGTTTATTTTATTTCTGAGACAGAGAGAGACAGAGCATGAGTGGAGGAGGGGCACAGAGAGGGAGACACAGAATCCGAAGCAGGCTCCAGCCTCGGAGCTGTCAGCACAGAGCCCGATGAGGGTCTCGAACTCACAAACTGTGAGATCATGACCTGAGCGAAGCGAAGTCGGTTGCTCAACCGACTGAGCTACCCAGGCGTCAGGACCCATAAAATTTTTTTGAGCTGAGAGATGAGGGAAGCACATGAAATGGGATGGCTGATGTCCCATTCCAGAGAATAAACATGTACTCACAGAGTTGTTTTATGCAAGACCATTATCAATAGAGGGAAGACTCCCCCTCGCCTCCGCCCAAACCAGACCATCACTTATTTTTGTCTTCTATCACATCAACACCTGATGGTGTATGTCACCATCATACACAGTAGGGTCTGGCAGCTACTACACACGTCAGGCTTTCTTGAAAATTTAAAATCTTGGTTTTATTTTATGTTAGTATGCAATAAGGTTCTATATCAACAAGACAAAAAAAATAGCAAGGTCACAAAAGGATGATGAAATAAATGCTCCAGGGGTACCTGGGTGGCTCAATTGGTAGAGCATGTGACTCTTGATTTCAGGGTCATGAGTTCAAGCCCCACATGGGCCTAGAGCTTACTTAAAAAGAATTAAAGGACGAGGGTGCCTGGGTGGCTCAGTTGGTTGAGAGTCGGACTTCGGCTCAGGTCATGATCTCACGGTCTGTGAGTTCGAGCTCCGCGTCCGGCTCTGTGCTAACAGCTCGGAGCCTGGAGCCTGCTTTGGATTCTGTGTCTCCCTCTCTCTCTGACCCTCCTCTGTTCATGCTCTGTCTCTCTCTGTCTCAAAAATAAATAAGCATAAAAAAATTAAAGGAAATAAATGCTCCATTGCTGATATCCAATATAATTATGGTAGATGAACATTAAAATCTGGGGAAAGCAGGATGGGTTATACAGTTCTGCATTGGAGAGAAAGCAGGCCGTGTCTTTAAGAAAGACAAATGGGGAGTGGGTCTAGGAAAAAGATCTGCCCAGAGATATCATGCAGAGCAAACTGATGGGTAAGTTTTTCAGTATCCCCCATGGTGACTTGGTGATTAAATCAATACTAGAAAAGTATGCTTCATATTACATGTATACATTTAGCCTCAAAATTTAGATCTATATATTGTACATGAGCAGGAATTGTAAATATCTAAATTATAGGTGAGCAAGACGTTGACATTTATAAAGAGGAGCAGAACAACTGACTGGCCATTTTTTGGACAACCATTTGAGCTCAACCATGTTTGGGAACAAAACAACGCAAGTTTTAAGAGCCATTTGAAATTGACCACATAGATTTTTTTTTTTTAATTTTCTTGTACCTCAGACCCTTAAGAGGGGGTTGGTGGCTCTTGGTATCACTATTTTCCAAGCTTCTGTGGGGAGGGAGCCTAGGTATTGAAAATGGGCTTGACAATATCTGCAATTAAAAACTAAGAAGGTCAACTCTCACCAAACTACTGGAGTATTACCAGATTCCTGTGATGTTCCAATTTGCCTAGAGGCAACACTCAAACGAAGGGGCTTTTGGAAACCAAGCTATGCTCCTATGCTCATGTGACTCTATGCTGGGAAAAGTTAGCAAATGTTTCCTGGAAACTTGATGCTTGAGGACCAGTGGAAGGAAATAGGACCTGTTTCATGACCTTGAACAGCTCCTGAGGTAGTAGGCATGGGTAAGAAATGTACTAGAATACATCATGTACGTTTGCTGGATTGTGTTAAAGTCCACTCTTGATGCCATTTTATCAGTAGATGTTTCAGTATGCATAGCAAAGAGATGAGGATTTTTTAAAAACAAAAACACCATTATACACCTAAATAACTAACAATAACTTTAACATCTGGCAATGTTGTCAGTATTCCCATTTCCATGATCAATCAAGAAATGAGTTTTACAGTTGTTTTCTCTGAATCAGGATTTTGTCAAGATCAACTCTTTCCATTGGTTGATATACCTCTTCAGGCGCTTTTATTGATCTTAATTTTATTTTTATCTATTATATGTTCTCTCTTTTTAAAACTTGCCATTATTGCCATATTGAATAAATAAGGTCACTCACATCTCTCAAATTTCTCACATTTTGGATTTGACTAATTGCATCCTCATGAGGTCATCTAATAACAATCTTTATCTTTCATGTCCTGTAGGCTGGTTATTTGATCCAGAGTTTTGATCAGATTCAGTTTCACTCTTCATACCTGGAATGCCCACTGCAACATACGGAGGCACAAAGGGTCTGATTGCTCCTCTTTTTGTGATAAGGCTGGTTGTTGGGTTTAGGTGTTGTCAGTCTTATTGGTGGACAGTTTTTCATCAGTGCCGCAAAAGGCCTGAAGACAATTTTTGAGCTGTTTAACATGTTTCAGGTATAGTTAATAGACTAGTATCAGCCATAGAGACCTCGTATATGGACACAAGGCAAGATGAAGGTAGAAATGCAGATAATAAAATTTATTTGAACACATATAGCCTAGGCCCTGTGTTAAATGCCTTGTATGTATGTAAAGCACTTGGAGCGGAGTCTTGGGCCTTAACAGGATTAAATAATAAATGCTATTATTGCTGTTGTAAGTTTGAACCATTTTATTCTGCTATGTCCTTAAGATAGCATGGTGATCCAAGGGAAGGAAAAACATCACTGTGGGACTGCCCCCTGAGCACAATGACTTGGTTGGTCAGGACTGTGAAACAGGAACTTCTGTGTTTCTTTGGAGACATTGAGTCAGGCCATCTGTGGAAGTGAACAAATGGTGTTAGTGTAGGTGCTTCCCAGGAGGGCTGGAGGGTCACTGGATGTTTTAGACTGATGAACAACATGGTCAGAGAGGAGTTTTGGAATGAGACACCAGGAAATCACAAACACACAGGAGGAATGGCATGGGATGACATTAGCAGAGGCCAAGAGCACAGGTTAGGAAGCTTTGATAATCCTCAAACCAGGAACTGCACGGTTGTCAGCTCAAAATGACACTTCTATGAGTGGATCCTGTCCCAGGTGGTCCACTGGAGAAAGACAGACCCACACCTCACACTACACACTCAGGTTAACTCCAATGGATCACAGGTTAAATGTAAAAAATGAAGCCATGGAAGTACCAGATGCAAGCATGAAAGACTTCTTGTATTATGGAAGGAAGAAAGCTTTTCTAATGGTGATGAAGAATCCAGAATCCATCAAATTTACAAAAAAAAAAAAAAAGAAAGAAAGAAAGAAAGAAAGAGAGAGAGAAAGAAAAAGGAAGAAAAGGGTAATCCAATTCCTAAGAGTCAAGAATCTCTTGGGGGAAAAAAAAGCAAAGTCAAAACACAAGTGAGAAACTGGAGGAGGGGGATCTCCATCTTAAATTACAGATAAAGTATGACTCTCTCTATTATACGAGGATTTCCTAGAAACAGAGAAAAGAGCCAACAACCCAATATAAAAATGGGCAAAGACATTTCACAGAAAAAGAACTACAAAATGCCTTCAACACATGAAAAGATGTTCCATCTCATGCATACAAAGAGAAATGCAAACTATAACCACAATAATACACCATCTATCCCTTAACAGAGAGGCTGAAAAAAGTTGCTTTAGGGAGTGTGATATGGCACAACCCCCATGGAAGATCATTTGGCAGTATTTATCAAGATTACGATGCATAGATCCTTTAGCACAGAAATTCCACTTCTGGAATTTATCCCACAGATGCATACCTGTGTGCCCACAACACAGCAAAAGATTGGACATAATTCAAACACGGAATAAACTCTGGTACTCGGGCAGTGGAACACTATGCAGCTATTAAGAAAAGAACGTGAAGTTCTTCATATGCTGATGTGGGAAGATCTCCAGGATAAGTGAAAACAGCCAAGGGCAGAACAGTGTGTCTGGCACGCTGCCTTTTGTGGAAGAAAGTGGGGGGAAAGACTATGTATTCTCATTTGCATATATTTGCATAAGAGGCCACAAAAGCAAATAATAAGAATGTGTCCTTGTACATTCCAAGGATGGAACAGGGCAGGATGTGTGTACGAACAAGGCTTCTCAAAGGGAAACTGACCCTTGAGTCATATGAACATTTCACCTATTGACAAAAAATAAAATCAAATTTTAAAGAATGACTAGTTTCACGGTCTTGAAGGCATATAACTTCCTCAAGGAAGGGACTGGCCCATCAATCTCCAGGGGGGCCCTGGACATAATGCTTTTGCTTCCCTTTTGGCCCCTGGCCTCTCCAGGTTATCCCCAAAGTTCCACTGCTCTCAATGCTGAGCGTATTGTGGTGGAGGAGAATATTGTGAAAGCATACCTCAACTCAGAAGGGGTTTTAAAATGAGGTCCTGTTGTTCTCCAGGGAGGGATAAATATGTTGGAGGCCAGCAGGCTGTCACTTGCATAAATTCTGACTTGGTGAATACTAGACTGTTTTACAATTAGCAGAGCAAAATGCCTGCCTGGGTGACTATCCTCTCTGGGATTCCCAGCTCCCAGCTCACCTGGCTTCCTTTTGCTTTCTCACTAATTTGTCTTGAGAACCATAGCAGTCAGTATATATTATACTATATTAAAAGGATTATGTATCATTATAACCAATAATTGTTATAAAATTTATTGAGCACTTGCTATGCAGCTGGCATTTTACTAAGTGCTTTATCTTCTTTACTTCAGGTACATAACTCCAGAAATCACTTATATTGTGATCCCATTTTCCAGATGGAAAAACTGACCTTCAGAGGTTTGATGCCTTGCCCACAGAATGAAAGTGTTTGAGCCAGGAGTCATCCTCAGTCTGCACAATCTGGGTTCTGCAGTCAATGCTTTTCCCCAGGACTTGGGTCTCATCTCATCAGCCTCCCCTCCTTGGTGCCCCCTAATTCCATAGCTGCTCCTTAACTTGTCTTCCAAGGCGCCCACTGCATGGCCTCAATTCTCTGTCCTACTGTCCTTACCACCACTTTCCATGTGGGGCCCTGCTCCCCTCCCAAACCAAATTATTTACTCTGCACCCCTGCTTTCCCATGCCCTTCCCTTTGCTCACTGTCTTTCCTGGAAAGCCCCTTCCTGCTCCTCCTTCACCCTCTGGGCCTCTACCTGTCAAAGTCTACTCACTCTTCAAGGTTGATCTCAGAAGCCAACTCCTTCCTCAAACGCCCATGGCCCCTAGCCACTCGTGACCTCTTTCACCTCAGAACTGTGGTTTTACCTCTGATTCACTCTGCTTGCAGTGAGGCTCAAAGTTTCCACTACAGTACTCCTGATGCTCAAGGGGAACTCCCTGCCTATCTATAGGTTCCAGGGTGACAGCTTCTATTTTGTTCTTCAAATGGGCAAACATGTTGCTCCTATGCCATGAAAAATCCATACTTGTGTTTTTTTAAGGAAGGAAATTTTTTTGTATATATATTTAGTTTTAATTCCAGTATAGTTAACATACAATGTATTTTTAGTTTCAGGTGTACAATATAGTGGCTCATCGCTTCCATACATCACCTGGTTCTCATCACGACAGGGGCACTCCTTAATCCCCATCACCTATTTCACCCATACCTCCCAACGCCCCCACCCCCACCACTTCCTCTCTGGTAACCATCAGTTTGTTCTCTCTAGTTAAGAATCTGTTTATTGGTTTGTCTCTTTCTTTTTCCTTTGCTCATTTGTTTCTTAAATTCCACATGAGTAAAATCATATGGTATTTGTCTTTCAATGACCAACTTATTTCACTTAGCAAAATACTCTCTAGCTCCATCCATGTCATTGCAAATGGCAAGATTTCATTCTTTTTTATGGCTGAGTAATATTCCCTCGTGTGTGTATGTATATATGTATGTATGAGTGTATATATATATATATATATATATATATATATATATGTATATATATGTATGTGTGTGTATATATATATATTTATATATATGCATGTATATATATATACATATATATCCCACATCTTCTTTATCTATTCATCTATTGATGGACACTTGGACTGCTTCCATAATTTCGTTATTGTAAGTAATGCTTCTAGAAACATAGGGTCCATGCTTGTTCTGATATGAAAATAATGTTATTTTCCAAAATCATTAGGTGAGATTGGCATTTCAGGAGGATGTGCTTTCTCATGGCTGGGAGCTCCCTCTATCCCATGGCCAAGCACCAGCTAGACACGCATGCTTAAGTTTAAGAAACAAGTGACCAGAACATAAAGTCCATAAAGGGCAAAACCACATCTGGATCCCAAGCCCTGAATCACCATCTGTGTGTTGATTGTAGAAAGAATTTTCTTTATAATTTCACAAATGAAGTGCCCATTAACACAACCCTTCTGAAGAGTCTGAAAGTCATTTAATTTTCAGTAGATAGGTTTCCCTTGTAATAGAAGCTACTTGATTAATTTGCTCAATGAGACTCTTTTTCAGAGCTGGTACAAGCCCATGAACACAGCTCATATTCCCAAATTCTAATTTGTGGAGTCCCTAGGAGTTCTGCTGTATTTTCATTTCAGAAATTTACATAGCATTGGAAACAGAGCCAGACCACATTTTAAAATCACTGCATCTGTCCCAGAGCCCCCTCCTCCATGCCTTCATACTTAACTGCCTTTCTCTTGCTTCTCAGATTCTAAAACCCCTGATGCTAATCTGACATGGCCCTACTATAGTTCGCCCAGCTCTCTCCTTAGCCTGGGGCTCTACAAGCTAAATAATTTCCTTTCTCTGAGAACTGCCACCTGCTTAGAGCAGCTCCCTCAGTTGGGCAGGAGGATGGTGGGGCAGCTGGGAGCCAGCCATCCTGGCTTCCATTCCTGTGTGGTTGGGTGGCAATGATTTTCACTCCATGCCTTCAACCTTTCATCTTTGGAACAAACCCACGTGACTGGCAAAGGAGGTCATATACGTCATGCAGCTGGGTTCCCTAAGAAGCAGACTTGAGTCGGGATTTGTGGCAGAAGGTTTATTGGGGATCAGCACCTCTGGGAGATGAGGGCCCACAACTGAGAGAGGAAAGTTTGGCTATGAGCCTTTGCAAGAAAAGCCTTCACGGTCCCACTTGAGCTCTGGCGCTGAGACAGCACTTCACAGTTGCTCTTCTCTGAGACTTTCAAACCTCCACATGAGCAGCCATTAGATGTGGGCTGCCCCCAGAAAGGGAGTGTCTGCTTGGGTGTGATGGCTGTCATCAGCCCAGGGCAATGGGAGGGGGGCTCAGCTGGGAACTGTGAGCATCAGCACCCCTAGCAGTGGGGGTGCGTGTCTGAGACCTGGATGGCGGGGTGGGTGAGGGATCTGGGCAGCACCCAACGGTGTCCACTACAGTGCATAAAGTGAATGTCCTACAATAAACAGAGGTCATCAGAACACTAAAGCATGCTGCCTATGTGAATGAGGTGTAAATAACCAATAGCCCAGTAATCCCCAGGGTATGGCTTTTTTAAGAAGATGCCACATTACCAAAATCTTGGATTTGAAGCACTTCAGGGAATGGGGAAAATGTGGGGCAACTCAAGAGAGATGTGTTTTTTTAGGAAAAAAATGGCAATTTGCGGAAGGTAGCAGACTCAAGCCTTATTCTCATTCATCCAGGGGCATGCCATCACAGCATGTCTCTGCGTGGGGAGACAGCCACTTAAAACCAAGCCCAAGGGGTGCTGGGGTGGCTCAGTCAGTTAAGTGTCCGACTTCGGCTCAGGTCATGATCTCGCAGTCCGTGAGTTCGAGTCCCGCGTCGGGCTCTGTGCTGACCGCTCAGAGCCTGGAGCCTGTTTCCGATTCTGTGTCTCCCTCTCTCTCTGACCCTCCCCCGTTCATGCTCTGTCTCTCTCTGTCTCAAAAATAAATAAACGTTAAAAAAAAAAAAAACTTGAAAAAAACAAGCCCAAGCCCCAGTTTACAAGACACTGGGCCTCTGCCCCTCCCCCGTTCATGCTCTGTCTCTGTCTGTCCCATAAATAAATAAAAACGTTGAAAAAAAAATTAAAAAAAAAAAAAAGACACTGGGCCTATTCCGTGAGAGAGCTCCCCTCGCCCCATGCTTCCTCTGGGAGAAAGAACACATCCAGGAGGCAGACGAGCAAGGGAAAACCCTCCACTCGGGACAAAAGAACAAGAAAGTAAACACAGAAGTAAAAGATCTTCTTATCTCTGACAAAAGAAGAGAATGACGTTACAGCTGGTAAAGCCAGAACAGGCCCATGATCCTGTTAGTACAGGGCCCAACATTTCCAGAAGAACTGGCTCCAATAAAAACCACCGTTCTTCCATGTTATCAGAAAAGTCTGGGCCAACTACCCATTTCCCTTCTTCCTTACTTTTCTCAAACTGGAGAGTTTACAGCTGCCACTCGACACCTCTGTTACTTGCCTTCCTTTGGCAGCACACCCTGTCTCCCCGGTGGGTGTCACTTTAGCGCCTCAAGCCAGTCCTGTGCAGTGCCTCAGAACCACAAAAGAATGTGGCAAACAAATAGAAACTCAGGAAAATGCTTTAAGCTGTTTTCTTCTGAAGACACAATTTAATACAGTTTGATTTATAAATATTTCTATTAGCAAATCATCTACTGCATGTCTAACAGATGTCCTATGAAAGAGACAAAAATTAAAATGTATTAGTTTCTTAAAAATATGGAAAAATAATGTAATGAGAACAATGGCCACTGATTAACCTAACCACCTCCTGCTGTTGAGCATTTTCTGTGGTGGGAGTAGTTAAACCTTACTGCGACCCTCTCTTGTAGGTGAGCCCACAGAGACTCACTGAGGTTAGGTCTCAGTAAATGGGAGAGCCTGGATTCCAACATGAGACTTGAGAACAAATAAAAGGCCGGACTCATCAATATTGTGCTTTCCGTAACCAGGTTACTTTCTGAGTTTGAGGTGCACGGTGCATTTTTGATCCAATAGATAGTGAGGCTTACAGAGGAGCTTATAGACCCTGTGTGCCAACTCCACAATTCAAAACACACGATCTTGCCATGACTAGTAGCTCTAATCACATTTGATCATAAATTTCCCCAACGTTCCTATCAGCTTCAATATAAGAGACACAAATAAAAGCTCTAAAGGCACAGTGAGAACAGAGAGCCATCAACTCAAATCCCTATCCCCTCTGTGATGAAGGGCAGCGTGACTAGAGCCTCACATGCCAGAAGCACCTCAAGCTTATAGTGCGATTAAACTGCCATCCAACTGCACCTAAGGCTATTCATCCAAATTAAAGCTGTGCTGTTCCCCAAGCCCAGCCAATTCCACCGCCCCTCTTCCAGAGTTACCTACGCCCAGTTGAAACAGAAAGGAATATGAAAGTGCCAGATTCGTTCTGCCCAAAATCAGTTGGCTGACATTGCAAACACGAACACATGTCCCCCACATGCAAAGACCAGCTCCTCGCAAAATGACCTGGGTTGTATTTTGTGAAATGTAATTACAGAAGAGACATGAAACCAAGCAGAGTCTTGGCTCAACCAGAGGTGTTACTACCCAAAAAGAAATGGACAGCACCTCGGCCGCTGCCCCATTACAGGGGAGTAAATCTCTAGCCTGCTGGCCTGTCAAAAGGCAATATTCCAAACAGAGTATTTCCCAGCCGGACGGCTATTAATTCAGGTATCCACCTTGCCAACATCTCGATGCTTAGAAACCCTGTCAAAACTCATTTTCTCAGCATATCCGTTTGTAAGGTCAACAGTCCCGTGGCTGTCCATGTTCAGCATCTGTTACTGCCTTTTTTAAACCCTGTAACCTTT